TTTCTCCAGGATGAGCCCCCCCAGCTCCCTCAGGAGTTCTCCACACCCTTCCCAGCTCCCTTCCCTGCCCTGCACACGCTCCAGCCCCTCCATGGCTCTCCTGGCTGAGGGCCCAGAGCTGCCCCCAGGATTCCAGGGGGGCCTCCCCAGCTCCCAGCACAGGGACAATCCCTGCCCTGGCCCTGTGCCCACCCTGGGGCTGCCTTTGGCCTCCAGCAGCACCACGGGCACACCAAGCCCAGCCTGGAGCAGCAGCTCCTGCCTGAGGAGGCAGAGCAGACACAGGGACGGGCAGTGCTGCTCATCCCTCCTGGCCATCCCTTGGTTTCCAGCCACTGCCAGTGAGGAGCAGCTGAGTCAGGCCTCGTGTCTCACCCTGGCACCAGTTGCTCTCCCAAACCCTTGGCAGCGCTCCTTGGATTTGGGCAGGATTCCCTGGAGCACTGAGCTCTGAGCCATCACAGAACGGGGGAGGCTGGGGGGGACCACTTGGAGGTCATTTGGTCCAAGCCCCTGCTCAAGTGAGGTTCCCTAGAGCACGTTACTCAGAGATGTGTCTGGATGGCTTGGGAATATCTTCAGGGAAGGAGATTCCACAGCCTCTCCAGGCAGCCTGTGGCAGTGTCACCTGGACAGAAGTTCTTCCCTAGAGAATCCCAGTGGGAAAGGACCTTTAAACCCACCCAGTGCCACCCCTTGCCATGGGCAGGGACACCTTCCACTGGCCCAGGTTGCTCCAAGCCCCGTCCAACCTGGCCTGGGACACTTCCAGGGATCCAGGGGCAGCCACAGCTTCTCTGGCCAACCTGTGCCTGCCTGTGCCTCACCAGATGCCAGCCAAGGTTTTGTCAGGATTATGTGAATTCTCCTGTTCACATCCTCCACCCATCACAGTTTTGTACAGAACAGTCCCCAGGAGAGAAGGAAATTCCTCATCAATATTGAAATGCAACCACAGGGACAAAGTGAAGCCTCTCCCCGACCAGGGAGAAGCATCTTTGGCTGCTTTCCATGAAATTTGGGCTCTCAGCTTCCCTAAGACATCACACACTGCCCCCAGAGCAGTGGGACACACACACACAGTTCCTAAGGAGCAACAGGGATCAAAACTGGAGGTCGACACATGCGGGAATAAAGAGCTGGAATCAAAACAGAGCCTCCAGCCACCAGTAAGGACCAGTAAAGCACCAGTCCTCTCCCCCCCAGCACTCAGAGTGCCTGCTCTGCAGTGGGAATCTGCTCCCAGGTGCAGCCTGGCTCCTGGCAACCCCCTCTGCCATTCCCAGCAAGCTCCATGCATTACTAATCTCCCAGGAAAACACAAAAGCCCTTCCATGATGCCTCTGGGCCTGTTGCCATAACAGCCCAAATCCCTGGGAGAATCTGCCTCTGCATTAATTGGGGCTGGCTAATGAGGTGGCTTCATCCAGGGCCCACCCCTCTGCTCCCAGCCATGCTTTCCAAGGCAGGGATGGAGGAGCAGCTCCCAATGCCAGCCCTGGGAACAGGAGGGGGCCAAGTTTCACAGATTCCCAGAACTGGAAAGTGGGAGAGTTATCACCATCCTCTGGTGCCCAGGAATGAGTATCAACATCCTCTGGTGCCCAGAGTCAGGAATCTCTATCCTGGGATGCCCAGGGACAAGCATCACCATCCTCTGGTGCCCAGGATGGGCACACACACCCCCTGGCAGGAGGCACTTGGCATCCAAGGAGTTTTTTCACTGAGGGTGGGCAGGTCCTGGCCCAGGTTGGGCAGAGAAGCTGTGGCTGCCCCTGCATTCCTGGAAGAGTCCAAGGCCAGGCTGGAGCTATTGGAAGGTGTCCCTGCCCACAGCAGGGGGTGGCACTGGATGATTTTAAGGTCCCTTCACACCCAAACCATCCCAGGATGATCCTCATGTCAATTTGAACACCAGTGACAGCACTTGGGCAGGATAGTGCATCTTCCCCCCTCACAGCCCTGGGGACACCCCTCTCCTTCCACCCCTGCAAAAACCACCATCTCCATCCTCTGGAATTCGCTCTGGGAAGGGACTGGGTGGCTCTGCAGCCTCTCTCTCCAGTGTTTTTAACTCCTGCTGCCAGAGCAGATGGCGTGGCAGCTCTCTTGGAAGTCTGACAGGGATTATCTTCCCTCCCAGCCTCCCCACTGCAATGCACTCCTTCCCATTTTGGTCGAGAAATATTCCTCCCATCCCGCTTCCCTTGGAGCCAGGCGGGGGTTAACTACCTTCATCTCCGGGAATTTTTAGCTCTGAACACGAAAAATCTTTTGATCTTTCCTCACGAGTCCCCGGGAATCTAAAGCAGCTGTGGAATATGCAAATGCCACACAGAGCCGAGCCTCTTTCTTCCCCAAAAATCCACCCAACCACCCAACCCCTGCTCGTTTTTCCAGCTCGTTCCTCGCTCACAGTAGTGATTTTTTATCATGAAGTCGACTGCCTGTGCAGGGCTGAGCCGCTGCCGTGGGTGGGTGGGGAATGACAGCTCAAGGACTTCTAAAACGAGCCAAGTGCAACCCAATTTCTCCTGTTTGGCTCTCTGCTATTTTGGCTTCCCTGGAATTCCACGGGAATTAGCCTCAGGTTTCTCAGAGGTGCCGCTTTGGGTGTGCTTCCCGGCAGGGATTGTCCCCTGGTGGGGACAGACACGGCAATCCCGGCTGGAACATCGCTGGAGCGACGTGGGATTTTTCCCTGGGTTTCTTGCTGGGATGCGCTGTGACAGCTGCAGCTATTCCTGCTCTGAGCAGGGCATCTCCCACTCGGATTTCATCTCTCCTGATGCAGATTAAAGGAGGGTTTTTAATCTCCTGTTGCAGGGGTGGGGGGTGTGGCTGCACCAGCCAGGTCAGGGCACCGACAAACCAGAGGCACGGGGGACACTTCACTCTGTGCTCACAGAGTGTGATCCCAGAATTCCTGAGGCTGGAAAAGCCCTCCCAGCCCATGGATCCCCCCTGTGCCCCATCCCCACCTTGTCCCCCAGCCCAGAGCACTGAGTGCCACGGCCAGGCCTGCCTTGGACACCTCCAGGCCTGGGCACTCCAAACCTCCCTGGGCAGCCCCTGCCAAGGCCTCACCACCCTTTCCAGCAGCAACAAATTCCTCCTCAGGGCCAACCTGAGCCTCCCCTGGCACAGCTTGAGGCCGTTTCCCCTTGTCCTGTCCCTGTTCCCTGGGAGCAGAGCCCGACCCCCCCCGGCTCCCCCCTCCTGGCAGGGACTTGCAGAGCCAGAAGGACCTTCCTGATCCCCACAGACATCCCAACCAACTCACATTTATACAAACCCAGCTCCAGATCCCACTTTTTACTGTCTCTGCTTGCAGAGATCCCTGGCAGTACCTGCACAGCCCGGTGAGGGCTTAGAGGGACTTCCTGAGGCACCAAATGCACTCTGGAACAATTCACAGGCAAGGATTCCATATTTCACAGAGTCATGGAATGGTCTGGGGGGAAGGGACCTTAAAACCCACCCAGTGCCACCCCCTGCCATGGGCAGGGACACCTTCCACTGGCCCAGGTTGTTCCACCTGCCCTTGGGCACTTTCACGGATCCAGGGGCAGCCACAGCTTCTCTGGGAAATCCAGTCCAGCCCTTCCCCACCCTCCCAGCCAGCAATTCCTTCCCAATATCCCATCTGTCCCTGCCCTCTGGCACTGGGAAGCCATTCCCTGTGTCCTGTCCCTCCATCCCTTGTCCCCAGTCCCTCTCCAGCTCTCCTGGAGCCCCTTTAGGCCCTGCAAGGGGCTCTCAGGTCTCCCTGGATCCTTCTCTTCTCCAGGTGATCCCCCCCAGCTGTCCCAATCCATGATCCACCCCTGAACGACCATCCCTGGGTTCCACACAGCAGGTCTCTTTGAACACAATTTCAGCTCTTTTGGGTTGGACTGAACATCCAACAACCTCTGCTCTCCAAGCATTTCCACTCTCACACCTGAACCAACCACCAGGACCCAGTTTGGGAACCCACCCCTGTCCCCCAAAATCCCTGGATCCTCCTCCCAGCCAATGGCACTGGGGAAGGATCCACCTCCAAGATCAAGACTTGACATAAATCAGATTAAAAGTCCCAGTTCCTCTCTGGTCACTGTGGAAGGTTTGGGACACCGGGCTTGGATGGGTTTTTTTCCACGTTCCCAGGTGATGGATCCAATCCTGAACATCCATGAACACAATTTTATCTCATTTTATCCGATTTCCAGTTCCACCCTCCAGACCCTTGGGCACTTTCTGCCCATGGAAGTCACGGCAGGAGCTTCACCAACACGGGGCAGCCCCTGAAATACCCAATTTTCATGCATTTTTCTTAGATTTCCTCCCCTATTTTTCTTTCTCAAGTTAATCCCATAGATTTGATTATCTCAGCTCCATCTCCCGTGGAACTCCAGGTACCGGCTGCTCCCATCCCAACCTGTCCCAGGTCTGTATCCACAGAAATCCTGGCACTCTGAACATTCCAAAGCATGCTTTGAACACCCTTCTTTGGTGGGTTAAACACACAGCTGGATTTGGCATCACCCTCACACCCAGATGATGCCATGGGATTCCCTTCAAATGATCCCTTTCCATGGAAAACATCCCTAGGGAGGAATTGCTGGCTGGGAGGGTGGGGAGGCCCTGGCACAGGTTGCCCAGAGAAGCTGTGGCTGCCCCTGGATCCCTGGGAGTGTCCAAGGGCAGGCTGGACAGGGCTTGGAGCAACCTGGGCTGGTGGAGGGTGGGTTTGGGTTTGGTGGCACCATAAACCTGTTGGAACAGGGTCCAGGACCCACCACAGCTGGTTTTTGGGTTTAGTGGCACCTGAAACCCTTTGGGACAGAACCAAGGACACACCACAGCCAGTTTAGGGTTTGGTGGTGCCATAAATCTCCTGGAACAGGGTCAAGGACCCACCACAGCCAGGTTCTGGGTTTGGTGACACCATAAACCTGTTGGAACAGGGTCCAGGATCCACCACAGCCGGTTTTTGGGTTTGGGGGCACCATGAACCCTTTGGACCCACCACTGCCGGGCAGGTGCCTGCTCCAGACCTTGCCCTGCCTCTCCTAAACCCCAGCTCAGCTGGTTCCTGCCCCGTGGCTCAGCTCGTGCCAGCCCAGGGCTGACACTCCAACCCTCCACCCCCTGTGCCAACAAGGAGGGTGGCAGAGCCCCCCTGGCCCCGGCAGAGCCTGGATTGCTCCAACCCCACCTCCCGCTCCGAGCAGGACCAGGCAGCCCTCGAAGCAGGAATTCCATGGGAATGAGCTCCCACCTCACAGAGCTGGAAGGGCTGAGCCTTTCCTGCCCACAGGGCCCATCCCTCCTCTTCCCAAAGGGATTTTTCCCCCCACCCCAGGCCGTCTTACCTACGGATTTTGTCCGTGGAATTCCTTTGCGCAGGGAAACGTGGGGCTTCTCAGCTCCCGCCAGGACCCCCGAGTGTGCTGCCATGCCCTGGCGCTCAAAGAGGGACTGCGAGGGGAAAAACAGGGAATTCCCACTCCAGATATCAGCCAGGCCCAGCTGGGAGGACCCCACAGTTCACCTCAGCCCCGCTGACTGCTGGGAGATGGGATCTGCCCACAGGGACCACAGATCCCACAGGGATCTGGCCACAGCCCCTGTCGCTGTGCCCGAGGACAGGGATGGAGCACCCTCACCTGCACCTCCACCTGCACCATCAACCTGCTGGAACAGGGCCAAGGACCCACCCCAGCCAGCCCTGGGGTTTGGTGGCACCGCAGCCCTTTGGGGACAACGCCAAAAATCCACCTCTGGGGAGAACTGCACCTCCCCGTCCTCGCTTCTGCCCCGGCCCTGCTCTCCAAACCCTGGGATGCTGCCCTTGGCAGGGTTAACCCTCCCTGCCATCCCCTCTCCCTGCCCAGGGTGGCACAGAGAGGGTGACTCCCACGGGCAGCCCGTGCTCTTGGTGTTCCCAGACTCTCTCCCTCCCTATTCCCGGGGGATCCCCCTCCCAGCACAAGCCCATCAGCAGCTCCACTCGGCACCGCCGTGTTCTCCCCTCCCTCCACGCCCTCCCCTCCGGCCGATTCCCCTCCCTCACACTGATCTCCGCGGGCGTGATCCGCCGGCTGGTTGGTCTCTGTTTCACAGTGGCTGCCCTGGAATCTGCTTCCACGATATCCGCCCTCAGCGCCGGCTCCGCGGCCGCCAGGATCTCATCCAGCTTCTCTGGAATCCAAAGGGGGAAAGGCAGCGGGTCAGGGGAAAGGGTCGTGGGGCACCTCCCCTCCGACAGCCACAATCCCTGGGGGAGCACAGGGAGCTCGTCCTTCTCCTGCCCAGCCAGCAGCTTTCCAAGGATTTTTGCGGGCTGGGAGTTTGATCCCACTTAGCTCAGGGTGGCACCGTGCCATGCCATGCCATGCTGGGCCACCTTCCCACCCCGTCCCGGCAGTGCCTGAGCCAGGCTCTGACCTGCCAGCACCCGAGGGGCCTCTCCTGGCTGTGCCACGTTCCAGGGAATCCTCCATCTCACACCCAAGGGCAAATTTTCCCCAGATTTATTTTCGATACTCGGGATGAGCCGAGTTCCCCCCACCCAAGGTGGGCAAAGGAGGAGTGGGAGGTGCTGGGAAACCCGGGTGCCACAGGGACCACGGGACACATGGATGTCCACGGGATCCACGAGGCTCCAGCACAACCAGTGCCACTCCAGTGCCTGGGAAAAACTGGGATGTGTCCAGCCTGAGTGGACTCAGGTGCCTGAAAGGCCCTGACATTCCTTGTCCCCAGCACAACCAGTGTCACTCCAGTGCCTGTTTGGGACATGTAACATCCTGAACCTCTCCAGCTCTCCTGGAGCCCCTTCCAGACCCTTCTCTTCCACTCCAGAAAGAGCACATTCCCAGCTCCTTGGGGAGCAGGAACAGGGAGCAGGAACCACCAGGCCAGTTCTGCCTCCGAGAGGCCGAGGGCTGAGCTCAGGGCTCCAGGCTCCCTCCCCTCTGCCCCAGGGCTGGGGGAAAACCGAGCTGGATGAGCCTCGGGCTCCCTCTGGATTGTTCCTTCCTGGCCCTCTCAGTCCTGGTGAGAATCCCAGAAGGGTTTGGGTTGGAAGGGACCTTAAAGCCCATCCTGCTCCAAGCCCTGCCACGGGCAGGGACACCTTCCACCAAAAACCTCCTGATTTTGTCGTGTCCCTCCTGTGACATCTCCCTCAGTGTGGGAGCAGTGGGAATGCCAGGAGCAGCGGGACAACCTGCACGGAGGCAGGAGCAGAGACTTTGGACATTTGGGACGATGCTGGACATGGCACAGTCCCTTTCCCTGGGAGGGGACCCCAGCTGGGGACGTTCCTGTGCCAGTTTTAACCGTGGAGCAAACACGGGGCAGGGATCACCCCTGGGAAGGGCAGCCCTGGGAATTCGGGGACAAACATGGGCATCCTGCCCATGCCAAGGAGAGCCCCACACGGCCACCCTGGCTCCTGTATCCCATCTCCTGGCACCCCAGCTCCTGTATCCCATCTCCTGTATCCCAGCTCCTGGCACCCCAGCTCCTGTATCCCAGTTCCTGGCACCCCAGCTCCTGTATCCCAGCTCCTGTATCCCAGCTCCTGTACCTCACCATGGCACTGATGCCAACCCTGAGCTCCGGCTGCCACCGGGATGATCCCCTGGGACTCTGCGGGGACAGCGACCCCATCCAGCCCCTCAGGGTGCTGGGGGGGTGCTGGGGGGTTGCTGAGGGGGGGTGCTGGCAGGGAAGGGAGGAGCCCCAGGATGTGCAATTTCACTCACCCCCTTTCCTTCTCCGCATGGAGGCTTGGAAGCAAGAAACAAAAGACAACATGAATGGCATGCACAATTCCTGCTTCCAGCCCAGCTCCAGCCTGGCTGCCTGCCCTGCCTGCTCCCGATGCTTCCCTGCCTCTGGCATGCGGGCAGGAGCTGGATCCAGCCCGGGATGTGCAGCCTCTGCCGGGACAAAGGCTTGGCAGGGCGGAGGGTGCAGCACCTCGTTGATCCCAGCCCTGGGATCCGCTGGGATCAGCCCTCCACCCATCCCTCACCCTCCTCGTGGGAGCAGGGCTGGGTGGATTTGATGCCCAGGCAGCTCTTCCAAAGCTCTCCGTGCCTCCCTGCTCTCCACGGTGTTTCCCAAAGCCCTTCCCTGCATCCAGCACGGCTGGGATTTTGGGATAGGAGTGCTTTTGTTTGCAGCTTGCTGGGAATCTGCTCTTCCAAGGGGACTGGCGTGGCAGGTAGCAAGGGGATATTCCGTGGGGCTGTGGGTGCATGGGATGGTCTGGGAGCTGCAGGGAGGGACAGGATCCAAGGAAAACAGGGCAAGGAGCACCTGGCAGAGCTCCCCTCAGGAAGCTGCAGGTAGGAATGTCCCTTCACTGCCACCAGGGTCCCTCGGGAAGGAGAGAGGGCTCTAAGACAAGGCACGAGGTGCTGATCCACATGGAAACTCCCTCTGGAGGGTCAAGCACCATCCAAGTATGGGAGGGGGGATGATTCCCCATTTTCCCTGTGGGATAAGAGGAGGGACATTCCCTGATCCACAGGGGCTGAGGAAGGCACTGACCACTGCATTCCCGGAGAACACGTGGGTTGACATCACTCACTGCCTCCAAATCCCTCTCCTGGGAGACAATGGGGTTGATGCTCCCAATTCCTTTCCGGGTGGGACACAGCACATGGCTGGGAATGGCTCTCTGGGTCACAACCAAGGATGGGAGTGGGAACCCAGGAGTCTGGGCTGGGGCTGGGCACAGGGAAGGGCAAAAAGTGGAAGGAAGGGGCCATTCCAAATGGATCCTGGCAAAGACAGAGCCTTTGGCTTGGGAATAGAGGTCTGGAGATGCAGGAAGCAGACCAGGGTGGGAATAAGGGCAGGGAGAGCAGCACAGAATAAACCATGGCTGATGCCAGCCCTGGAGTGACCACGGCTGATTCCATCCCGGGAATGCCGAGATCTGTCCCAACTGCACTGGATTTGGCTCCTCTGAGGAGCCCACGGGGTTGGGAATCCTGGTCACACACTGAGGGCAGGGAGAAAGGAAGGACGTGGAAAAACAGAGGGATGTGGGGTCCTGTCAAGGCTCCTGCACTCCAGAGGGTCCTCCCAGCCAGGATCAGACCCTGTGCCATGACCACACCACCACATTCCCACAGGGAAAATCCCTAAATCCTCACGGCGCAGGAGGGCACATTCCCACAGGGAAAATCCCTAAATCTCCATGGCAACAGTTCCTCTGGCTCTGCCGGTGCCCTCAGAGGGGTGGCAGTCTGTCCTCCCCCCTGTGCCAGCCCCGGCACCTCTCCTGGCAGAGCCAGCCACACAGATGCCCCAAAGCCTGCCCGGGATGGGGGTCCCTCCACATCTCCCACTGCCCATCCAGCGACAGCGGCCACTGTCCCACCTGCCACCCCCACCGGCGGCACCTCTGCCACCCTTGGGGACAACGCACCAAGGAGAGGGCAGGGAGCGAGGGGGGTGACACTGGGGACACGGTGGCACCCCGAGGTGGCCACAAGGGCTGGGAGAGCCGAGGGAAGCGAGGAAGGGCTGGGGGTGGAGAGGCTTTCAGGGAATTACGGGAGCGTGGAGCTCCAGCTTGGAGAGCAAAGCAGCTGGAAACGTAGGCAGGCTGTGGAGTGTGAGCGGGTGGGCACGGGTGTGGGCACAGGGGGGAGGGTGGGGTGGGGAGTGAGCACCTGGAGCTCACCTGGAGCTCACCTGGCACAGGGTGGCAACTGCCCAGAGAGGGGGGAATAAAAGCCTGGGGCTGCCAGGTGTGTGGGAGCAGGGACAGGAGAGAAGAGGGATGAGGAATGGGTGAGGAAAGGGATGAGGAATGGGTGAAGAAAGGGATGAGGAATGGGTGATGAGAGAGGGTGAGGAGAGAGGGATGCAGACTGAGAGTGACGAGGAACAGGGATAACAGCAGGGTGAGGAAGGTGAAGAGCGGAGAGAGGAGAGGGGTGAGGAACAGGGTAAGCAGAGGGTGAGGAAGGTGAGGAGCAGGGTAAGGAGAGGGGTGAGGAAATGGGTGAGGAGCAGGGAGATGAGCAGGGAGAGGAAGGAAAGGAACGGGTGAGGAGCAGAGAGAGGAGAGGAGTGAGGAAGGCGAGGAGAGGGGTGAGCAGGGTGAGCAACAGAGAGAGGAGAGGGTGAGGAGAGGGGTGAGGAAGGTGAGGAGTAGGGACAGAGGTTGGGTGAGTAGGGTGAGGAACAGGGAGATGAGCAGGGAGAGGAACAAAGAGAGGAGCAGGGAAAGGAACAAAGAGAGGATCAGGGAGAGGAACAAAGAGAGGAGCAGGGTGAACAGGGAGAGGAGCCCGGAGGTGAGTAGGGTGAGGAAGAGAGAGAGGGCGCAGAGAGAGGAACAGGGTGAGGAACAGGGAGAAGAGCAGGGAGAGGAGCAGGGAGAGTAAGAGGGTTCCTGCTGGCCGGGGCCCGTGGGTGGCGAGCCCTCCACGAGCACACGGAGACACCCAACGTCCTCCCCCCGGCCGCCTCCGCGGGGATGCGACACCGGAGGGGTGGGTGGCTCTGGGAGAGGGAGGGGGTGTCCTGCACCCCTAATCCTGCAGTCACGGGCTCTGAGCCCACCACATCCCTCCGAACACGACGGGACCCGCGGCGCAGCAGGGGAAACATCGCCCGGCGCTCCTGCTCATGCAGCTCCCCGGGCACCGGGAGCACAGCGCGCTCCAGCCCCGGCCCCCCGTGCCCGGCGGAGCCCCCCGCCCTTACCCAGCTCCTCCAGCTCGGCCGTCATGGACTTGGACCGCAGCGTCAGGGTGGTGCTGGGCGCTCTCTTGGGAGGCGGCGGAGCTGAAAGGAAGAGAGACGGCATTTTGCATTTCTTGTCCAGGAACTTACGAGGAGTGGCCAGATGCAGGTGCCACTTCTTCTCCACAGCCTGGATCTCCTCGTACTCGCGGGATGAGGAGTCGCACTGCTGCAGGATCTTATTGAGGCTGCGCGTGGAAGCGAACTTCTTCATGGTCTCGGTGCCACAGTCCCGGGCACGGGGCGAGGCCCCGGAGCTCCCGCAGGAACGTGGAGCCCCTCAGCCGAGGAGCAGAGTCCAAGTCATATCCCTGGGCTGCGCCTTCCCCCCTGCAGCCGCCGGAGGGGCTCCGGCTACGGGAGCCCCCCGCGAGTTAAAGCCCGGCTCGGGCAGCGCCCGCCCGCGGGGGCTCGGCTGTCACGGCCCCTCCGCTCGAGCCATGGCCGGGGGTGGGAGGGAGGAACGCGGCCGGTGGGGCCCGGCTCCGGCTGTCCTTCCTTCCTTCCTTCCCGCCTGGTCTGTCCTTCCCGCCTCGGCGCGGCCCCCGGAGCGCAGCCCACCCACCCTCCTCCGCCGTGCCCGGGCCGGGATGATGCTCCGCTCGCTCCGGCCCCTACGGCAGCGCTGGCGTCGGGCTCGGCGACCGGCAACCCGGACACGTGGCCGGGACGGGCCGTGGGAATGGCCCCGAGGGCTCCCTATCCCGGGCTGCCATGAGCCGTGAGCCCACCCGGCACGGGGACGAGTTGAAGGCTCTTCCTCTTCACTTGGGTGCCTCCTCCTCCTCCTCGCTGGCTGACAATGCTGGATTCAACGCTCAGGCATTGCCATGGCAACTGGAGCTCCAGGCTCTGCTGCTGCATCAGGGACCCAACGGGGCGGATTCAGCCCGAGCCAGTCCCACACAGGCCCCCAGCACCCCGGAGAGGGGGTGAGGGGGGTCTGAGCCCCCCCGGCCCCGCTGCAGGCGAGGGGTCCCGCACAGGGGACCTGGCTCCGGTGCCCGCACTCCCAGAGTGGCCCCTCGTCTCCGGGCTCAGGGAACGGGCAGCGGGCAGTGCCAGGCGGCTGCTCCCTGGCTGCGGGGCTGGAAGCACCGGCAGAAGGGGCGAGTGGCACCCCCGGGGGTCCCAGGGCTGATTCCCGAGCTCAGCCTTTCCCACGGCTCTGCTTTTTGTGCCGTGACAACATAATTGCAGCTCTCGGTGCCAGCAGAGCTGCTCCCTCCCCCTCGCCCCTCGTGCTGCGCTGGGAGCGCCCTGATCCCGGCCCCCAGCTCCCATCCCCCTGATCCCGGCCCCTGCTCCCATCCCTGTGCTCCCATCCCCCTGATCCCGGCCCCCTGCTCCCATTCCTCTGCTCCTGGCTCCACTGTTCCCATCCCCTTGCTCCTGTCACCCCACTCCCATTCCCGTGCTCCTGTCTCCCCCATTCCCACTGCCCTGCTCTTGTCCCTCCCGTTCCCATCTCCTTCCTGCTCCTGTCCCCCCAACTCCCATCCCCTTCTCCTGTCCCC